GACAGATACTGAAAGGCCGAAACTTTGTAATAAATATGGCGACAAAGATGAGGACTATAGTCCGAATAATGTAAATAGTGTGCATAATACCTCATCTCAGAAATATAGACAGATACTGAAAGGCCGAAACGTTGTAATAAATATGGCGACAAAGATGAGGACTATAGTCCGAATAATGTAAATAGTGTATATAATACCTCATCTCAGAAATATAGACAGGTACTGAAGAATCATTATTACTAGTAATAAACTTATATGCCGTACTGTTTCTATGCCATTCTTATAACTGATCTTTGCGTATGTGAACGAATATATTTTGAAGCAAAAATTTCATTTTAACTAAAGGAAGATACTTTTTCCATGTTCATGATTATCGGAAATTAGAACTGAAACACAAATTGCCTATTATGTTTAGGTTTATCTATTATCTATATGGTTTATCTATATATCATGCCTTATGTTTTCTTTTTATTTACTTATGTATTTGTTTACTTTTTTGTGTTGAGGAGGAAGATAGAAAAATAACAACTTTGATATTCAGTGTCGCGTTCAGATCGGATTTATTCAGAGTAAAGAAAATTTGTGAAATTTAAGTTTTCTTTTGTTTAATGATCACTTTGAGGCAGGAAACAGCAAAGCATGTAGAGGAAGAAGTGTCAAAGCTGGAGATGTTAAGAAAAACGAAAGAAGGTTGATATCTCAGAACAAAGGTGATGTTGAGATTAGAAGAGAAAGTAATCTGCAAAAAAAAAAAGAAAAAGACAAAAGAAATGTTCTAAAAATTTAAGATAAACATCAAGAGGAGCTTCAGCTTTACTTATTATACAATGAAAGTAAAAGTTGATGGAAGTGTTAAGAAAGCGTGTTTTTTGAAATGAAGATAAAGAAATCGATAAATGGAAGAACTACTTCCATGTACCGTGTTCCTTTAGGACGTTGACGATCATGGCTCTCTACAATTTCCTCTCCTTTAAAGCTCTCAGTAATTGTAATCTTTTTGTTATATCTCTCAATCCCTGTTCTGCCATCCAGTTACACAAGCTCGTTATGTAGATTGCTTTCCTCTGTTCCTATTGCCGTCAGTATGTCTTGTGAGTGTCAAATTTTACTAACCCTTTCCTCATCATGTGCTCGAGAAATTTTAACAGTCTATCCCTGATGTTAAACCTAAGTGTCTTTTATGTTTTCATTTTCTATAACTCTTCTTAATTGGTCACGTGTTCAGGTCATGGTATTCTCAGCATCCTTGTGTAGAACCCTATTCCTGTTGATTCAAGTCCTATATTCATTTGTGAGATGATTGTCTGATATATGGCAGGAATGATTTTGCATAACAGATCAGTACTCTTTTTTTCTTTGTTTCTAATTAAATTTTCCTGTTCCTTACTACTTTGCTTAGCTTCTTGCTTTCCGACAATACATTCTATAGGAATCCCCGCAGTATCCTTTCTGTGTCTACTATCAACACTGTGTCATCTCTATATAATACGTCGTTAAGATAGTGCATCCTTGTTGGACTTCTAATTCGCTCAGAATCGCTTGAATAAGTCCTGTATGAAGACATTGCTACTACATAGAAAAAGACAATGAGATGAGGTTCCAAGACGACATTTTTTGTGCAGAAATGAATGAAAATAAAGGTGAAATGAAAAAGCATAAATGATGGGTGAGAGATAATCTTAAGGAAAAGATGGGAGTAAGAGAAAAATAGGGGGAATGTTGGGAAAGGCGGTAAAATTGAAGAAGAAGAAGGAGGAGGAGGGGGAGGAGAAGGAGGAGGAGGAAACGATGGGCGTAAGAGAAAAATAAAGCAAAGGTGGGAAAGGAGGTAAAATTGAAAAAGAAGAAGAAGAAGAAGGAGAAGGAGGAGGAGGAGGAGGCGAAGGAGGAGGAGGAGGAAAAGATGGGCATAAGAGAAAAATAGAGCAAAGTTGGCAAAGGTGGCAAAGGCGGTAAAATAGAAGAAGAAGAAGAAGAAGAAGAAGAAGAAGAAAAAGAAGAAGAAGAAGAAGGAGGAGGAGGAGAAGGACGAGGAGGAGGAGAAGGACGAGGAGGAGGAGAAGGACGAGGAGGAGGAAACGATGGGCGTAAGAGAAAAATAAAGCAAAGGTGGGAAAGGCGGTAAAATTGAAGAAGAAGAAGGAGGAGGGGGAGGAGGAGGAGAAGGAGGAGGAGAAGGAGGAGGAGGAGAAAGAAGAAGAAGAAGAAGAAATGGTTCACCAAATTGAAAGTGAAAATGCAAATATTATAAAAAGAGAAATATATTCGAATGGCTTAACAGAAACAAAATCGATAGATTGAATGCATAGAGAAAGTAAGAGAGAGAGAATGAAAGTGATTATAAATATAAAGGGGTGGAAAAAATGTGATAGAATAAAAGAAATAGATAAAATGTGTGAGAGAGAATAGAATGGATGTAGATATAAAAGAATCAGAATGAAATCTGATAGTATGACTAAAGACAGAAAGGGAAGGAAAAAATCGAAGATGTTATAGACATTGGATGGGAAATACGTAGGTTTAAAACTTTTTTTAAAATAATTGTCTATTGTCGAAAGAAAAATAAGAGAGAAATTCGGTTAAAACTGGCACTAGAAAAAAAAACGAAAATTGAAAATTCATGCAAGATGAAGAATTAAAAAAGGCAAAAGTGAGATAATTTGATTTCTTCTTCTCTGGCCTGTTTTTTGTAAGAAAGATGATTATGAAATTTAGTCCATGAGTAAATCTGCAAAGAAGTAGTTATATAAGAAACATTACACTGGCTTAGATTCTAAGAAGAAAAGTAACAAAAAATAGAATCACTTCAAGTAAAAGAGCGCAAAGTGAGAAATAGAAAATCTAATGAGAGAAAGAGTAAAAGGTGAAACGGTTCTGAATGAGTGAATCAAAGTCGACTTGGAGACGGTGAAATAAAACACAAAGCAAAGTTACAAACACAATGGTATGTAAATTATTTTACAGTAAATTTCGCGATTATTGCTCGCTTAGATTAAAACTGCGCTAAAAGAATGGAAGGAAGAATTTAGAACGACTACAAAACTCAGACATTATTCTTAAACCCTAGTTTGTTATTTTGCATAAAGTAAAAGTATTTAAGACAAAAACAAATATAATAATAAATTATTTCTTCTTCTATGTAGCATTCCCCTTCAGGACGTTGATGGTCATGGCTCTTCACGATTTTCTGGTCTTTGTCGCTCTTACTAAAGTTGTTTTTTTTTGGTATCTCTCTTAAACATTGCTTCACTTTTTTTCTTTTTAAGCGTTTCACCCCAAGCAAGGCGGGAAGCCACGAGGACGCAAGGGGTTACAGAAGATTTGGAGCAAGATCAGCTAGGAGTGATAGAGGAAAGGATGAGGAGAAGGATAGTGGATAGATCAAGGCAACTGGAGATATCAATTGACATTACATATGAAAAGCTGAAGATTATAGCTCTCAGGGAAACTGGAATAGGGAAGGGAGTGCGAGATATAAAGCTATTAGAGTAGAAGAGACGGCTACATTTAGTAGTTTCGACAGTGAAATGGTGAGAGCAGGATGCCAGCCTCGTAGGGCGCTTGAATTCATGAAGTCTTGGAACCAGCGAATTGTTGATTTGTAGATCTGAAGGATCGATTCCGGGGAGAAAAATTTCCTGGCGCGGCACAGGGAGCTAACTTTCCTTGCGGTGGACGAAGCAATTGACTCAATGTGTTTGTTCCATCTCAGGTCAGCAGTCAACGTGATACCGAGCAGCCGCAGAGAGGTGTTCTCGAGAAGTTGAGCGTCAGACATTCTAATGGAGGGCAGGAAAGAATCTCTGTGGTGATTAATAAGGCTCTCTAAGTAGCTTGTTTTCTTTTGACCCTCTTGTCTTCAATTTATCTATATTTCCAACACTTACGGAAGAGCGCGATTTAAAAAAAGGAAAACGTAAAACGCAGAGATTAACACTGCTTAACAATATTTCGACTGCATCCCTGTCTTCTTCAAATTATTGAAAAACTGCGCCCATGTGTAAAAAATATGTAAAAAATACAAGTTTTTGTACAAACGTTACTTATCTTGAGAAAAACAGTTCTATTTGTAATCAAAGCGACAAAACAAGCGAAACGCGAACCAGGGTGAATAGAATGCAACTGAAACGTCAGTACCATGATGGGTACATATCTCATCTAGAATTTTTCTGTTAGTTGATTATGTAGTAAAGGGAATTAATCAAACATTCTAGTATAGATCTAATGGAACTCTCCTGGCTTTTGCTCATTCCCCTGTGGTGGGACGTGAGTATTTGTATACGTAATCATTTTTATGTTTTTTAAGAGTTAAGATGTCATCGCCTTCTATATATTTTTTCAGAACTCAATGTTTTTTTGTTTTACCAGTACAACCGTTTTTTCTCACGATTAGTGACGTTTGTATGGAGACTTGTAATTTCTGTGTATTTTTCATATTTTTTATACTTGTATTCAATATGTTTCGGCTTTACATAACCTTAAAAAGGTTGATAAGTCGTGAAAAACACATCAAATAAATATTTAAAAAATGCCTGACTAATTTGATAGTATGTCAGTCTTCTCCAAGTTATGTTAATTTGGAGAATAGTTACATAGTATCGAATTACTGTTAGGCATTTTTTTAGATTTATTTGATGTGTTTTTCACGACTTATCAACCTTTTTAAGGTTATTTAAATCCGAAACCTATTTTGGGATTGTAATTTTTTTATTTATTTATTTATTTTTTTATTTTTTTGAGATGATAACGATTTTCTGATACACGTTCTACTATTTAACTCATAGCTGGGAGGAAAAGAGGTGGATTCATACTTTTCACAAGGGTATTTGCACGTAAATGAATGTAACAAGCCCGACTGCATTTCGAACTCGGATCTCAGATTTAACATTCCGAGCCATTATCCATTAAACCACCCGCACATCTGAGTTTACATCACCTGATATTCCTGAGCGTTCACCCATCTAGTTACTGATTAAACTCAATGTTTCTTAACCCCGGGGTTCGTACGAAAACCAGTCTTTCAACATGGTATGACCGTGAGCAAACTCAACAATTTCCCCCATCCCCTACCCATCTATCTATCTATCTATCTATCTATCTATCTATCTATCTATCTATCTATCTCAGTGTGTGTGTGTGTGTGTGTGTGTGTGTGTGTGTGTGTCTCTCTCTCTCTCTCTCTCGTAATGGTCCTTCACCCAACTTCCCTTTTATGGTGACGAGAGCCTTATTCATATTTCATTCATTGGTCAGTGATTACATAACGTTTTTCCACTGACTAATCAAATACTGACTAATTAATTACTTGCATAATATTAAGAAAATAAATATTAATTACACTTGAACAGTAATATTAAATATAACGGTAATCTCCAGATTAAACTTTTCAGTTTAGTTTCGCATGTGATCCTCATTCAAACACAAGGATTTAAAAATAATTCTCTGAACTTTGAATCGGGATGTTTCCAGTAATACCTGTCAGCTGAAAGGCTTGTCAAGTCCTGACTTTTCAAATGCTCTCATGTTCATACACAACTAATTCTGACACTATTCAAAAAATTGATATAAATTCTTAACATTTAAAATCTTCATTTTTGGTAAAAAAAAATATCTTTCTCACCTTAGACTAAATGTTGATGGTCATTCGACCTTCGACACCAAACTTTCACACAAGCCATAGTGTCATAGCTACATTAATAGAAATGGTAAGATGAAAGGAAAAAAGTGTACTTGTCCCGTGTTCAACCCACAAAAGTAACTTCAGCTTTTGTTCATAACTACGACATATATAGGCGAAATAGCTAAATAATGGCCAAAGAAAAATCAATCATAATTTCTACATCCTATCATTAGTTTAAATGATGGTTGGTCAAAGAAAGAAGCCCCAAGCTGTCATCAAACATTATATTACATTTAATGTTGACAGTGACCGTTTCATGACTAAATTGATTCACAACAAAGAGTTTTGATTGCAATTGAACTCTGAATGCAGCTACCAACAAATTATTGCATAATAATAATAATAATAATAATAATAATAATAATAATAATAATAATAATAATTGGTATGAACACCACCCAGACCCGGTTACGGAGATAGGACCTGTTACAATTTTATGGGACATAATACACACAGACAGAACAATCAAAGCTAACCGCCCAGACATTGTTATTAGAAACCGCAAACAAAAAAGTGCCTCCTTATTGATATGACAGTCCCTGCAGAATGCAATGTAACTTTGAAGATCTTCAAAATACAAGGACCATAAAATCGAAATGACAAAAATGACAAAAATGTGGCACATGGGAACATAAACAATATCTGTTATAGTTGAAGCCCTCGGATTGGTTGGAAAAGATTCCAGAAGACTAATTGAAGGGATTCCTGGAAGTCCATGCCTTAAAAAAATACAAAAAATGCTCTCACTAGTACAGCCCACACATTACGAAGGGCTTTCGCTATGTAAATATGTTTTTTTTTTAATTGGTCAGTGGAAAATGTCATGATGTCATTTCTGACATAAGGTCTCTGGGCGGGACTCAGAGAATTATATGTATACAACAGAAATCAAAGGAAATAAATAATAATAATAATAATAATACACTTAAGGAAGAATGCGATTTAAGAAAAAAATGAATATGCCCAACAATATGTCTCGATATTGTTGAACATAGTCAAATACTTTGTATTTTCTTTCTTCTTAAAAGAAGCCTTTATTTGCAAAAATATTGGAGGCCTTAATATTTATTCTATTTACATTCTTCGGACTGTTGTCGTCAACTTTATTGTCAGTATTTACATTAGTCGGACTATTGTCCTCATCTTTGTCGCCATATTTGTCACAACGTTTCGAACGTTGTACGCTCCGGCCTTCTTCAGGTGGTTGGAATTTCGAACTGAACCCTTTATTTCGATCACTGGGGTAGACTGTTCTAGTTCCACGTGCCATGTTTGATGGATGTCAGTTATCAGTTCTCTCCTGCTAATTTTCCCTCTGAAAGTTCTCCACTGCCTTAACCAGGAATTGAACTCACCTTCTTTGGGTCTGTCACTGGATCTAACCAACGCCTTTATCCACTGTGCCATGTGGACATCTGGGTATGAACTTCTGAGTATTATAAATCTAATGTTTTCAGCATCATTTTTACCAGTGCTCATATTGCAATTTTTGCTGTTATCATTGCATGTCTTTACCAGAGTTCATATTGCAACTTTGTTATCATTGCTTTTCTCTGGCACTCCTTATTACTGGTTCCCATATTGTATTTATTTCTATGCTTGGTCGGCTCAGGAGATTTTTGTGGCCTAGCATATGTGCTGATTCCTTAAGTTTACGAATTTTCCAATGTTGTTCCCTGTCTATGATCTCAACATGATCCCACAGGAGGCAGTGATCTCCCTTCTCTCTCCATATGTGGTCCCCTCGTGTTACAGCTTTCTGGTGTTCTTGAAGCCTTACCTTGAGGGGGCGGCCTGTCTCTTCTTTATATTCCTTTCCG